AGTGGTCATCCTTGTTTTTTCCATGATCACTGGGGACAAGTATCCAGTCTTTCACAGTTAAGCATGATGTTAGGTGTGGGTTTCGTTTAGATGACCTTTATCAGTTTGAGAAAATTCACTTCTAGTACTAGTTCATTATGTATTTTTATCATGAGGGGATACTGAATTTTGTCAGATGCTTTTTTCATCTGGTATGATTATATAGCTTTTGTACCTTATTTTGTTGATACTGAGCATTACATTAATCATTTTCAGATGTTACACCAACTTTAGATTCCTGAGATACGCCCCACTGGGTCCTGGTGTATAATACTTTTTAAACGTTGTTGGACTTGGTTTGCTAGTCTTTTTTTTTAGGTTGTTTGTGTGTATACTCCTAAGCAGTATTGGTCTGTTTCTTTTCTTTTCTGATGACGTCTTTATTTGGTGTTGGTGTCAGGGTGATATCTAATAGAATGAGTTATTTTTTTCAAAGATGTTTGTGAAAAGTCGGCATTCTTTGAATTTCTGGTAGAATTTACCACTGTGAAGCCAACTCATTAGTAGTTTTTAAAAATTAATTCACGGGCGCCTGGATGGCTCAGTTTAAGCGTCTGACTTCGGCCCAGGTCATGATCTCACGGTTCATGAGTTGGAGCCCCAAGTCAGGCTCTGTTCTGACAGCTCAGAGCCTGGAGCCTGCTTTGGATTCTCTGTGTCCCTCTCTCTCTGCCCCTCCCCCACTCACAATATGTCTCTCTCTCTCTCTCTCTCTCTCTCTCAAAAAATAAACATTAAAAATTTTAAAAAATAATTCATTTTCTGTATTTGTTATAGTTGATTCATATTTCTGATTTCTTAATTTTTGATAGTTGTGTCTTTCTAGGAATTTGTCTGTTTTATCTAAGTTAATTAATTTATTGGCATACAGTTGTATATAGTATTCCCTAATAACTCTCTTTATTTTAAATCTTTTTTTACATAAAATATTTCCAATTCACAGAAAAGAATGGGGGAGAATAAAGAAATCAACTACCAGTAAGCAAATGTTAATGGTTTTCTATATGGCTATAGAATTCTTAAAAAGAACAGTGAAGAAATAAAATATTCAGTATTAATTGAAACTTACTTTATACCTACTACTACCTAATTCCTTTTCTTTCTAGATGTATCCTGAATGTTGAAATTGATCTGAGAAATTGAAAAATTGAAATCTTGAATCTTTACCAGCCATGTTTTTGTACTTAGTATCTTTGTATACAGAAAACTGCACACAGCATTCTTGTTTTAAAATGTTACTTGCAGGTGCCTGCATGGCTCAGTCAGTTAAGTGTCTGATTCTTCATTTTGGCTCGGTCATGATGTCACAGTTCGTGGGTTCGAGCCCCACACAGAGCCTGCTTAGGATTCTCTGTCCCCTTGCCCCCCAAATAAATAAACATAAAAAAATGTTACTTGATGGGCACCTGGGTGGCTTGGTTGGGCGTGTGACTCTTGATTTTGGCTCAGGTCATGATCTCATGGTTGTGAGATCAAGCCCCATGCCAGGCTCTGTGCTGGGCGTGGAACCTGCTTAAGATTCTCTCTCCCCCTGTCCCTTTGCCCCTCTCCCCTGCAAAAAACAACAAAAAATGTTACTTAGGCCTGCTTCATCCTGCACTTTTTTCTCCTAAGCATTTTGAGATTCTCTTACACGGACACATTTGATGTAGTTCATTTATGTAAACTGCTTTGTTTAAAAGTTCTTCAATTGAAAGGCATCTGGGTTGTTTTTCTCATTGGCTCTGTAAACGACGCTTTAGTGTTGATTCTGGCACCTGTCTGGGGGCATGGGTGTTTCTCAAGGAGGTAGACCAACAAAGTTAAGTCACAGAGTTTGTATCTCCAACTTGACTAGGTGTTGTAAAATTGTTCTGAAACTCTTGGGCTTTGGGATGTGCTTTAAGTGGCTACAGAAGTCCCAGCCGTGAGAGGCAGTGTCGGACAGGGAGTCACTCATTGTGTGTGGCTTGGCCAGCAGGTTCATTTACCATGCCCCAGTCGTGTAATCCAGGTTGTAGCTGGCTGGCCAGGTAAAAGCTGTGCCGTGAATGCCACACACTATTCCTAGGAGTAGCTACTTCATAAAATGTGTGAGACTGAGACTTGAGAGACAGCCAGTTGGGGTGAACCCTTTGACGTAAATGAAGTCAGCTGTGATCAACTGAATCTGTAATATATCCTAATGGAGATGAAGCGTTGTGGGCACCAAGTCTGCAGAAATAGTCTGGGTTCTGGGGTATCAGAAGCGTAGTCTCAAATCCACGCTCTGCTTTCTTTGTAATTTTGGGAAAGTCATTCCCCTCTGGTCCTCAGTTGCCACGTCTGTAAAATGGGGGTAATCACAGTTCGTAGCTCTCAGACTTGTGGCTAAATGAGGTAATACGCACGAAGTGTTTGGCACCGGGTCTGGGATCTTGCAGCATTGACTAGGTTTCTGTCCATGGTTGCATTCCCATTCACCAGTGCTGTGTACGAGGAGTGTGCACAGAAGGGTTAAGTAGCTTTCCGTTGTAGTACCTTTTTTTGGTCTGCCCATTGTGGCTTCCGTATCTCCAGTGAATGTGATGTCCTGGTCAGCCTTCCAAGTTGCTTGATATAATTTAAGTAAAGCACATAAAGCTACTATGTCTCAACAGCTCCGCAGACCTTTTCTAGTGCTTTTTTGTTGTAACAAAACCACTTTAACTGCACTCTTGGTCTGGAGAACCTCACCGGCAGACAGCTTTGTTGGCCGTTCTGTTTAGCGTGACTTGACTTCCTTGCAGCCGTGAGACAAGGAGCACAGCAAAGCCTTCGAAGGCCTATATTGGAGTGTCTGATGGGAATTGCTTTAAATTCTTGTGTTTGTGTGTTTTTTTTTTTAAGTTTATTTTTGAGAGAGAGAATGAACATGAGAGGGGCAGAGAGAGCCAGAGACAGAGAATCCCAAGCAGGTTCCACGCTGTCAGCCCGGAGCCTCAACTGGGGCTCGATCCAAGTCATGGATTAGGAGATCATGACCTGAGCTGAAATTGAGTCAGATGCTTAACCCACTGAGCCACCCCGGTGCCCCAGAAGCACTTTAAATTCTTAACCATCAACCTGAATAAAGGCCCCTCCTCCTCATCAGTTAAATTTCAGCTTTGGACACGACGACACTGGCATTTGCTTCCTTTGGGTCTTAGATGCTTTCGAGTCTACTACGTGTAGCATAGGGTGAGTCCACTGGGGTGACCACCTGCCGGGCCATCTTCCGTGGTCCCTTCCTGGAATGATCTGTGACACAGTCCTGTCCGACAAGAGGGTATTCAGAAAGTTGATGAGCATCTTTTGTTTTTTGTCTCATGACACAGTATGTGTATGATTTCAGTAACTTGCCATAAAAACTAGCAGAAAAGATGGCCAGGATATCAAAGTGAGGTTTCTTTCTGGAAGCTGAATTTGGTTCAAATTAACAGCTATCAGACTCCTCAGAAGCTAAGCTATGTGTGGGAAGAGTGGAGGGGGAATGGTCATTAGGTGATGAGAAACGCTGGAGAGGATTGTGTGGCCACACAAAAGGGTGGGTGGCATGAAGCTGACATCTGTCACCAAGTTGGGCTTGCCTTGGCTCTGTATGGCTCAGCGCACTTCCAGCCATCGCTAAGCCTGTGTGTCTGAGCTGAGAGATTTGGTACTCACCTCGATTCTAGAGCAAATGTGCGTACAGCGTTTGAAAGATGCTCAGGGAGGGCCGTGTCCAGGATCTGCACAGCTTTCCAAGGCCCTGTAGGACCCATCCCCGACAGAGTGGTCCACAGAAGACGCTGAAGCCCCTCAAGGCCTAGGACCCTGGAGGGCACAGCTGCCTCCTACCTTTCCAGACCTTGTTTCTCAGACTTTCTGTGTGGAGTGTGTCCTGTGGCCAGACTCCAACATCTAGCCTGTGGCCAGGTGCAGAGGAGGGTCTCAGCCCAAATCGCTTGTTAACCCTGACCTCACCCAGCCTGCGCTCTCTGCCTGGAGTGTCCTTTCCGTGTGTAAACACCGTGTCTTGTGTGTGCCTAAAGCTCCCTGCTCTGTCCCGTGGCCTCTCCTCAAAGGCTGGGGCACTTTTGCACGCTCTCATACCACGATGTCTCTCCCCGCAGTGTGGGGGGCGGGGGGGGACCTTGGCTGGTAACATGGGAAGTGACAATGTTTTAACCCCTTGGAAGCATCATGTACTTACTGATCTGTTGAGGCGGCTGTCTTGGTCCCTCACCGTCACAGTTAATGACCATCTTGTTGCATTGAGGGAATCAGTGATCTTGCTTTTTCCCTTTTGTGGCTATCGACACGGGGCCTATTTCATAATCAGGTATCGAAATGGACATTACGGTTTCCATCACATTTGCTCATCACCATTTTATTTCCAAAGCAAGGAGGAAAATATAATGCTGTTTTCCTCAAAACTTGATTTTAACCATGGGCTTTTGGGTTAAAAATTAAATGCCATCTTACTAAAAGAATACCTAATCCTAAAGACATTTTGTATGGTCTATAAAAACACCTTGTAGTGTTTTGTTTTCTTTTTAAACTTGGTTAAATCGAAGGATTATCTGGGTCTTTCAGGAATTTTGTTGGTGCATTTCCTGCGATCAAAGTGTGTGCGTTTTCACTGTCCACGGATGTCCACATCAACCTCCCCGGGGGGGAACCAGGTACTTGATCCTATCTTCCCGTCAATGTTTCTTTAGAAGAATGAACATGGCTTTGGTGTAAATCTTGCCATGTTCAGGTTCGGCCAGTCCTGATTTCTGTCTTGTCTCCCACGTTCCTGGACTTGGGGGAGGGTGGCCCACTTGGCCTGTGAGCTAGAATTCACCTCGGTGAGGCTACTGGTTTCGTCTGCAGCCAGGTGCTGTGAGGTGTGTGTTTGAAGGTGGGGTCTCCTCCAAACTCCGTGCCTGCGCCCAGCTCCGCGGTGGCTCTCCCGACCCGTAGGGTGTGGCCCTCCCTCTGCACAGCAAGAACCACAGTACATCAAAATGTTTTTTATTTGAGACACAAAAAATGCAAAATTGCTGAGATATCAAACGTTTCCCGATCGGCTACAATACTGCCACTATGTACAAAAGATCTGACGATCAGTGTGCACACATATAAAAATACAGTATGCGTTGCCTATGTACAGGACATGTGCAAAATGTATGGCGTTCAGACATGATACGGAATTGATTTCAGGGGTGCAAACAGCAAATACAAAGGCATCATGGTTTTTCTTTTAAAAAACAACATAAAGGCAGTACATGAATGGACCCCCCGATTGCCGTAATTTTTTTATTAGGCTAGTGCTTTAGTAAGCGGGGCTCTGTAGATGGGTATCTTTCTCCTTGTTTTCATAAAGTGAGATGCTAAGACATGATGTGACCATGAAAATAAGAAGAGAAACACCTATCACGCTGTGTTTCTACTGCAAGCAAGAAAAAAAGGAAACTAACCTGTACTTAGGAAGAAACTCTGTATTACTACTAAATATGCATTCTTCTGAAACCAACAAAACAAATCTATACTATTTTACATGAAAACAACAGAGAAATATCTACATCTTTGTGAAAACTATAACCTTAAATGGATAATACCTTTTTGGGACTGATTCTTGAGAGCTCGTTAGTCTCAAATTTTAAATAAAAAGTGCCTCCTTTTGGCAAATACTTGGCAATGCCTTTGGTTCCTTTAAAGCGAGTTTGCATTACTACTGGTTACTTGAGGTTAAGTACTTTTGGTAGATACTAAACCCTTCCCTAAATGCTCCCTCTTCCTACCAAGTTAGCAAGTCTCCTTACAGCATCATGTAGAGAGGTAACTGTTACAAGTCTCGGTGATTCTGTGAACTGGGTTAAAGCTTTGTCTTAGTAGTTGGCACAAAGCTCTGTTCAACACAACAGCTGTGCTGATAATCGCCAGTGGCCTGTTTTGATTCCAGACAGCACCTTTGGTCTGAGACCGCCATCCTCGTGTCACAGAATTGTGACCTTTCTGGCTGGTAACTGGCAGAGCAGTGTGTAGGGGGGGGGCGCCGCGGGGGGGGGCGATGAGCACTCTGTAAACGTGCAGCTTTATGAAGCGTGGGCTTCGAATCAGCTCTGCAGGCAGGTTGGCCAGGGGGAGTGGGGAAGACACAGACCCCTCTTGGGTGTCATGCGGGCAGTCACTTCACACATGAGAAAGGCAGCCCGGACGGACGGTGAGTGAGCGACGGTGGGGACCAGGACAGAGAATTACTGCTTCTGGTGATTTTCCAGTTTTGACTGAAACCACTCAGAGGATGAGCTGATGCGCAGGTAGGATGCTCTCCCAATCTGCATCTCTGCACTTGTAAGCTGTGCTCCCTGATAAACCTGACCTTCCACTTAATGTTCTTTGACGGTGTGGGCTGCGTGGCCTCCAGGGTGGTGGACAGTTTGTGTGGTAGCCCGCTCTGGCGCCAGGAGCCAGCTTGCACACGTCGGCAGGGCCAGATGGCGGAAAATGGAGGGTTACTTGTGGATCTGGATAAATGGCCTGTGTTGCTCTGTTGGTAGACACTGGACAGCTGTTCTCCCGGAACTTATCTAACAAGTCCCTGGTGGTGCCACAGGCTCACCGGGCCGCGGCCTCTCTGCCCCCAGGCAGGAGCCCGATGAGGCCAGGCGGGCCCACTGCCTTCACTGCTTCTCTGTGGCCCAGTCTCTTGGCAGACTAGAGGGACTGTCCCATCACTTGCGGGGACGGCTGCTTGGCCAGCTCCTGTGGCTGCTTTCCGCCTAGGAATTCTGAAAGGGCTCTGAAGAGAGCTGTGTGGCCTGGAATGATTGGGGTTGAAAGGGCAGAGGAAGCCTGAGTCAACTTTGGTGACAGGATGGGCAACACGCCGCCGATACGCTGACTGCACAGTTCCGTGGCGCTATCTTCTTACCATGACTTTGCTTTCAGGAGGCGGCAGCTGGGAGGCAACACCAGGCTACCTTCGCCCCTGTTCCAAAACCGCACCTCCTCCAGCCTCAGTTACGTGGGTCACAGAACTGTGCAGTTTAGAAAGGGAACTGAAATGAGCTCTCTCTAGTGCTATAAAAATAGTCCTATGAAACACAAAGCATCCGAGCAAGAAATCCCACGAATTGAGACCATGTCTTTGTCCAAATAGGTGGCAAATACTGTACAGTAGGTTGCACGATTCAGGAGAATGCTAGAACGTGAACCACCAACGACCCGCCTGCAGCGGCTCCCTAGACGCGCTTTGCGGAGATGGACAAGGTGCCCACGTGCCCCTGGGCTTCCAAAGGCTGGAGACGCTTCGGTGTCACTTTCTGTTCGACCGGCCGCCCAGTGACGTGACCAAGAAAGAACTGCGTACACTCGAAAGGCAAGCTTGGTTCTGTCGTGTTTCAGGAACATTTAGGGAAGGAAGCGTGGATGTGAGGAAACGCGTACGTCCCGGAGCCGGCCGTTTCCTTGGCCAATGGCAGTCTGCAAGACGACGCATGACGCACGGCGCTACGCACGACGTCTACGCTACAGGCGTTCACAACGAACGTCCGCCGCCACCCTGCCCTGGGCTTCGATGGCCGTGAGACCCCCACCTCGGACAGTAACAGTAGTCCTCTGGACTGCACAGCCTTCCGTCGCGCTTTGTATCGCGTCCACAGACTCAGGTCAGGGGCCTCGTTTCCGTGTCCTCTTTGGTCTCGTCACACGCTGCCCAAGCTCCGTGTCCTCCTTCTAACCTAGAATGTGGAACGGGGGCCCCCGGCGGCCGCCCACACGGCACGGACGCCGGGCTCGCCGCCCTGGCCGGGCCCCGAAGGAATGGTGCGAGCGGGAGGCCGGCGGAGCCCCGAACGGGAGCCTCCTCGCCTTCCCTTCCGAGGAAGCCCTGCACGTGACGGCGACAACGCACGTGTGAAGCGGGCACCTTCGCGGTGCGTGGCAGGCAGAGAGCAGGCTGGGGAGACGGCCTTCTCCGCGCCGGGTGTGTATTTTGGAGAGGGGCCTTCCTGGGGCGTGTTTCAAACCCTGTTTGACGAGAGCGAAGAGGACTGCTGAGGGCTGGGACACCCGGTGTGCGCGTGGCTCAGGGTGACGGAAGGGGGGGCGGGGTCGGGACACGAGGCGGCGCCACCGTCCCCTGCAGTCCCACGATGTCGGGTGCCAACCTCGTAAGCCTCGTTTCAATCTGAGTGAAGCCCCGGGCCTTGACCTCCCCTGAGAGGAGGAAGGGCCTGCCCGAGCGAACGGGCCCTCCATCCCCAGAGGGCGGCTGGTGCCCTCGCCCTTGCTCACGGGTACATCCTGCTTCGAAGTTTCTAGATTGCATGCGCCGGCCTGCCAGTTCCTCGCCATCTCAACTACTCAGACCACACTGAGCATAACCGCTTCTTCCTCGAACCACTCAGAAGTGCTTTCACCTTGGGAAGTGCCACCTCACAGAGGGCTGCAGTGTGCGGGGCGACCGGATACGGAAAAAACAAACTTGCCTTGCATGTAGTAAGATCGAGAAGCCAAAATAAAAATCTGAAAGGAGGTCGGCTCTGCGGCAGAACGCAAACCCGGCAGTGATTCCCCAGTTCTTTCCAGACAGTGGGTCAGGCTGGCTCTTCCCATGTCGCTGTGGGGATATCACCACCTCACGACCCAGAGAGATCAGCCTGACCCTCGGGTTCACACAAAGCAAGGCGTAGAGCATGACAATGGTATTTAACAAACACCTTCACGCTTTTTGGTAGATTGCAGGGTTTTTCTTCAGTTATTTACATCTTATCGTATACTTAAATGACTAGCTTGACCTAATTTTGGAAGTCCTGTGATAGTTGGCATTTTAGAAAACTCTTCAGAAACTACTCAACAAACGTGACAACTTCTATGTAAAAAAAAAAAACTACTAAAACCTCCAGTTTTTCAATCTTCGGCCTGATAATATAGCGAGAACTCGGGTATGACATCCAGTTACAAGCCTATAAAATGACAGGCAGGGAAAAGCGACAGGAGAGGCGGCCAGAGCCGGAGGCTGGCGGCCAGCCTGGTGAGAGTCTAACTCGGAGCCGCTGCAGGAATGTCCCGGCTGACGACAGCCTTCTCCGCTGCCCTCTCTTTGCAACTCACCAGCTCAGGAGGACCGTTCACACTGGAGCCTCCTGGGTTCTTTGAGATGGGTCTGGTTACCTGAAATCAGTCAGCTTTTCTTTAAATACAGAAATACACATGGCTCAAGTACTCTAGAAATATTCTAGTTATTAAAACAAGTAGAACCGCTGGCTACCCACTCCCTTACCCCAGTGTAGGCTGTACATACCACATGTGAGAGTGTACATACAAGTGTCTAATATACACATGAAAATCAATCTAATCAACCCCGAGGGTTGCTAATAGAATTTTCAGTGTTATCATTCATTATATGTGGACTTTGTACAGTGGTTTATGACCGTATTTTTTTTTTTTTTTTTTTTTACATTGTCTGGTGATGGTGAAAGATCATCCATTTGAATTGAAATTTGGGAATCTAAAGTAAGATTCCCCAAACCACAAAATAAACTACAACACACAAAAAATTATGTTGGTTTCTGAATGGAACCGAAAATCTTCAGCTGGAAGCTGTCCCGGAACTGGCTGGCGCTCTCTCTCCACTGCCTGTGCTGCCTGACCAGGCTCAGGCCATTTCTAGGAAACACCATGTGCAGTGACCTCTCACCTCCCTCAACTGGCATCCTCTTGTGAGTGGAGCTGTCTGCCTTCTATTTGGGGTCTTAAAGCGACCACAGAGGTTTAAATGTAGTTGACGGAGAACCCTCATGTAGTTATCCTGCACACGTCACTCTCTGTCATGTCTTTATCTAAAGGTACTCTGCATTCTTTACTGAAGTCTGGAAAAACGAATGAGTCTTCTTTGACCAGCGATTTTTTCAGAAGGCCCCGTGCTATGTTAAATTGTAGAAATTCACCGCTGGATGCAATGACATGTTTTCACACTTGGTTTCCAGGCTGTGACCATCTAGCCACCCTTTCTATGACATATTTTAATTGCAACAACGCCGCTATGGATCTGTCTCTAAAAACTGCCCTCATCAGAACGATCTTCATCTTCTTAGACGTCAGGAACTCGGACGAGAAATCTGTGATGTTAGTCCCATGGCAACGGCAGGTCTTGTGGATCTAGAAAGTCAGTGGAGAACATGCTGGGAGCGGTGGCGCTGAGGGGAGTGAGTCCCGATGTGTTGGGCATGGTAATGTCCAGCCACTCCATGTTGTCTAAGTTTGAGTCAGAGAGGTCAAGTGACAGACAGGGGGTACTTGCAGCAAACTGGGCTTCAGAAGTCTCCATGGGTGAGTGTGAATGGTCCAGCACACTTGAGTGACTCAGCAAGTCATTTTGGAGGTCCTCGATCAGAGAGAAGGGCTCTCTGTCTTCACTGCTGCTTTGCAGGGGAACAATTTCGTTGGCCGAAGGTAAAGTTCCATCCAAGAAAGCTTCTAGCTGGTTCTCTAAGCTGGCAGATAAACTGCTCAGGGGTTCTAAGGAGACGGGTGGTGCCATTTGGACTTGGGGAGGGGGCCGGGACACCACCGTGTTGACTGGCATTGTGGTGATGCTGGCTGTCACTGGTCTCATTTTGGAAATGGGAGAAGGCTCTTCTTTTATAGGGAGGGAAATCTCTGTGTAAAATAATTGAAGTGATTAGTAAGTAAGGACATGATACTATTTAAACATTTTTATGAATTAGGACAGTTCTTTTGCTATTTTGTGAGGACTTCTACACAGTCCGCCTTAGGGGTAGGAAGAGAATGCTATTGGTCAGATAGAGTCCTTGATCGCCTGCAGGATGATGGCTCTTTTTAGCTGAATAAACATTTTCAGGTTATAACATTCTGATATGCTTTCTAGTCTTGTTACTTAAGAGCAGTAAGCATGACAAGCAGTGATATGGCACCAGGGAGGAGCTGATGGTGACATTTAATTGATAATTTGATCTTTGGGTCCTGGTTCCCAGGTACTTCAGGCTTCGGACAGGGTTCATGTCTTGTCCGATACCATGGATCTGCCGTCACAGCAGCAACCACCCTTAAAGTGAACCTTAATGTCACAACTGTGTTCCCAGTTTGTGCAGCCATGAAGTACATTCTTAATATCCTGAAAGCTCTAACTATATTCTTTTTCCTACTATCATTATAGTTGAACTATATACGTTCTGTATAAAGTTTGAAAGAGATGCAATGCCCACCATCTTTTTTTACTGAATTATAGCTAACACACGGCTCCTTTGACCCTCTTTTTTAAGATGGGTCACCTTACTTTTCTGCCTTTTTTGTCTTGTTTTCTGAATTTATACAAAATCTTGAAGATCTGGCAAATGTCTTAATAAGCACTAAATATGTGTTACTCGTTGCTGGATCAAGTAGAAAATTAACACCATTTGCATTAGATTGCAGTGTTGCTATAGATACATTTACTTAAATAAAGTATCTTTTTTTACTTTCTTAGGGTATCTGATTGGTTTCATTAGTATGCAGACACGCCAGGAAGGGTGGATTTAGTAACAGCTGTGAGAGCTCAAAGGCCGGGATGCTTAATAAGGGAAAGAACCTACAGGCTGACTCCTGCTTGGGGACTGTCAACCGTGTGTGCTGACTGTGCAACTCTAGGACGGTCTGTGGTTTCTCACTTCCTGTAGTCGTCCCTAGAATTGTTCTGAAAGCTGACAGTGCGATGTCAGTAACCAGGCTCATAATCATCTATTTAAATCTCTGTTCTCATGATTACTGGCCGTGGTTTACAACAGGATAAAATAACATACTCACTGGATACTTTGCCATTAAAAAAAAAAAAAAAATCATGCCTTGTAGGAAATAACTCATTTGATGACTTTGTCACATCTTAATTTCCAAATTTAGGCTGCAAAAATTATTCTTTCTAATCATATAAAAAAAATCTTTATTTTCACCAGATTTGGCAAAAAAAAAACAACAAAAAAACAAACCCAAACCATTAAAAAAATCCTAAAATCATGGCCATGAAATGTCTATTTCTTTTATCTCCATGGTGTAGATATACAATGAGTTTAAATTACTTTGTGATGCCAGTATAGTTCTTAGGAAAAGAAAAAAATCTATTTGCACAAGTAGAACTATAGTCAAACATCAAGAATTTCCTGTGTCTTCAAAACCAAATAGTTATGCTATTTAGGGACAGAAGCTGCTATGAATGGGGAAATTTTGATCCCTGTTTAAAAAAGTGATTAAAACTCCTTTCACCAAGGTAATTTAAGAATACTTTATTCCCAGACAGTATTTGTTGAATTTTTAAAATACTGTTTTTTATATTTGTTTTGAAAGATAGGTTTGCGGAGGTTGAGATACCCTTGATTTCTTTTGTGTGTGGTTAATATCCCTTGTCTCTTTTTTGAAAAAAAATTTTTTTAAGTTTATTTTGAGAGAGACAGAGACAGCATGAGTGGGGGAGGGGGAGAGAGAGATGCCAAGCAGGCTCGGAGCTGTCAGCGCAGAGCCTGATGCAGGGCTCAGACTCACAAACTGTGAGATCACAACTTGAGCCGAAGCCAAGAGTTGGACGCTTAACCAACTGGGTCACCTAGGTGGCCCCCCTTATCTGCTTTTAAGATGATACACTATAAAGTCTAAGATTTTCAATTATATGTAGAAAGTGCCTCAAAATTGCCTTTGAATTCTATAAAGTCACTACAGTCTGAACTAGGTAACCCGTGGTTGTTACAGAATTCATGTGTGAAGTAAGTAGAGCACTTTTATCCCATAACAGTGACATACATAGGGAACATGTTTTAAAGTTTTTCAGTGTGGAATTTAAATTTGGCTCTCTTTTGGTGTTTTTGAGATGGTCTGTTATTTTCAAAAGGCAGAGATCTATGGATAAAACTAACATTACGTTATTGTTTTCAGCTGAAACAATGGTTTTTCCTCCATTTTATAAGTTTTAGTGTCCTAATTTAACAGATTTAAAACAGTAAATATAGTTGGAATTAGAAAAATATGTTTCTCGCTACTCAAAGATATGCCATGAGCTCTAAAGGAAAATATTCAAAACCTTGTCATAAAAGGTGACTCTGGCGGGTTCTGATGTGACTTGTAACCTACCTCCACTCTTGATAAGTATATCAAAGAGGTCGTCCATCTGCTGACTGTGTGCACTGGAAATCTACAACAAAGAATATAAATTAGCTTTCTTTCATGCGGACCCAGAAGCATTAACAGTTGGGAGCATTAAGGGACCCCTTTCCCCCATTCAGGCTTTCTCTCTCAAAAATATAGATTAAAAAAAAAATAAACAGCTTCTGCACAGCTAAGGAAACAATCAACAAAACTAAAAGGCAATAGACAGAATGGGAAAAGATATTTGCAAATGACATACTGGACAAAGGGTTATTATCAAAAATCTATAAAGAACCTACCAACTCAACACCCGAAAAACAATCCAGTGAAGAAATGGGCAGAAGACATGAATAGACACTTTTCCAAAGAAGATGTCCACATGGCCAACAGACACATGAAAGGATGCTCAACATCACTCATCATCAGGAAAATACAAATCAAAACCACATTGAGATGCCATTCCACACCAGTGAGAGTGGCTAACAGTAACAACTCAGGAAACAACGGATGTTGGCGAGGATGCGGAAAAAGGGGAACCCTCTCGCACTATTGGTGGAAATGCAAACTGGTGTAGCCACTGTGGAAAACAGTGTGGAAGTTCCTCAACAAATTAAAAATAGCATTACTCTGTGACCCAGCAATAGCACCACTAGGAATTTATCCAAAGGATACAGGAGTGCTGACTCACAGGGGCACATGTACCCCAATGATGAAAGGTGTACTATCAACAATAGCTCAGTTATGGAAAAAATGCAGATGTCCATCAGCTGATGAATGGATCAAGAAGATGTGGTATATATTTACAATGGAATGCCACTTGGCGTTCAAAAAGAATGAACTCTTGCCATTTGCAACAACATGGATGGAACTTGGGGTACTATGCTAGGTGCAGTAAGTTAGAGAAAGAAAAATACCCTATGTTTTCACTCCTAGGTGGAATCTGAGAAACTTAATAGAAGACCATAGGGGAAGGGAAGGAAAAATAAGAAAAACAGACAGGGTGGCAAACCATAACAGACTTTTTTTTTTTTTTTTTAATTTTTTTTTCAACGTTTATTTATTTTTGGGACAGAGAGAGACAGAGCATGAACGGGGGAGGGGCAGAGAGAGAGGAAGACACAGAATCTGAAACAGGCTCCAGGCTCTGAGCCATCAGCCCTGATGAGAGCCTGACGCGGGGCTCGAACTCACGGACCGCGAGATCGTGACCTGGCTGAAGTCGGACGCTTAACCGACTGCGCCACCCAGGAGCCCCTTTTTTTTTTCTTTTTTTTTTTCTTTTAATAACAGACTCTTAAATACAGAGAAGAAACTGAGGGTTGATGGGGGTGGGGAGTTGGGGAGGGTGGGGAAAACGGGTGATGGGCACTGAGGAGGGCACTTGTTGGGATGAGCACTGGGTGTTGTATGTAAGTGATGAATCATGGGACTCTACTCCTGAGGCCAACCTACACTGTAACATACACTGTTACCCTGTAAGTTAGCTAAAGTGATAATAAATTATTAAAAAAAAAAAGTATGCCTCTTAACACCAAGAAACAGACTCTGAACCATAGAAAACAAAACTGATAGTTACCAGAAGAGAGGTGGGTGGATGATGGATTAAATAGGTGATGGGGATGAAGGAGGGCACTTGTGATGAGCACAGGGTAATGTACGAAGTGCTGAATTACTATACTGTACACCTGAAACTATATTTCACTGTATGTTAACTGGAACTTATTTTTTTTCTTTGTTTTATTTATTTATTTATTTATTTATTAAAAAAAAATTTTTTTTTCAACGTTTTTATTTATTTTTGGGACAGAGAGAGACAGAGCATGAACAGGCGAGGGGCAGAGAGAGAGGGAGACACAGAATCGGAAACAGGCTCCAGGCTCCGAGCCATCAGCCCAGAGCCCGACGCGGGGCTCGAACTCACGGACCGCGAGATCGTGACCTGGCTGAAGTCGGACGCTTAACCGACTGCGCCACCCAGGCGCCCCTGTTTTTTTTTTTTAAATGTTTATTTTCGAGAGAGACACACAGAGTGTGAGCAGGGGAGGGGCACAGAGAGAGGGAGACACAGAATCCAAAGCAGGCTCCAGGCTCCGAGCTGTCAGCAACAGAGCCTGACATGGGGCTTGAACTCACGGACCGCGAGATCATGACCTGAACCGAAGTCAGACGTGTAACCGACTGAGCCACTCAGGCGCCCCTTATTTTTTTTTTTTAATGTTGATTTGTTTCTGAGAGAGAGACAGGGAGACAGAGTCTGAAGCAGGCTCTGCAGTGACAGGACGTGGGGCTCAAACTCATGAACTGTGAGATCATGACCTGAGCAGAAGTGAGTGACTTAACCAACTGAGCCACCACCGAGGTGCCCCGCTAACTGGAATTTAAACAAAAACTAAGAAATTTTAGTTATTATCTTATTTTTATCAACCAAAAAAAAAAAGTATGCCTCTCACTGATGTATACATTAGTTACGCATTGCTGTATTACACATTCTTCCAAGTTTACTGGCTTCAGATGCTATAGAGTTGTTATCTCCCATTTTCTGTGGGTCAGGAATTTCGGAATAGTTGAGGTGGCAGTTCTGGTGGGGGCACCTCCATGGGCGTGCAGTCAACATGCTGGCCATTTGCCCTGTTTTTCTTGGTGGTGGTGGTGTTCCTCCTTTCTTGTGTTTTAAAAATACATATTCATTTATTTTTGGAATTCTAACTAAATGTTTCTATTTTGTAATAGCTGTACTTCTTTACTTGTATGGGCACTCAATATACAGCCTTCATGTTTTGTAGGTTACTTAATGTTGTAGCATTGTACACAAGATATAAAACCCTGGTTAACATCTAGATCCACTTCCACCATCCGTTATTGATATTTTTAAGTGTTACATCTACATATTTTATAAACCCCTTTACAATGTTATTTTTTATAGTGCAGGTTTTCTGGTGATGAATTCTTAATTTTTATCTGAAAATATCTTTAGTTCACTTTTATTCTTTTTTTTTTTTAATTTTTTTTTTCAACGTTTATTTATTTTTGGGACAGAGAGAGACAGAGCATGAACGGGCGAGGGGCAGAGAGAGAGGGAGACACAGAATCGGAAACAGGCTCCAGGCTCTGAGCCATCAGCCCAGAGCCCGACGCGGGGCTCGAACTCACGGACCGTGAGATCGTGACCTGGTTGAAGTCGGACGCTTAACCGACTGCGCCACCCAGGCGCCCCTAGTTCACTTTTATTCTTAAAGAGTATTTCTACTTGATACAGAATTCTAGTTTGACAGTCCCTCTCTCCCTCCTGTTCCCCACTAAGAGCTTTAAAGACATTTCTTGGGTATTTTCTTACTTCAGCAGTTTCTGATGAAAATTCGATCATAAAACAAATAGTTGTTACCGTTGTTACCATGTGTGCATTGTACTGCTTTTTTTTGGCACTTTCAAGATTTGCTCTTTAACTCTGGCTTTCAGTAATTTGACTATGATGAGGCCTTCTATTTACCCTGCTTGATGTTCAGTTAGCATCTGCAAGTTACAAACTTGTCTTTCATCATATTTGTGAAAAATTGGATTCTTTTTTAAAAAAATTTTTTTTATGTTTATTTATTTTTGAGAGGGAGAGACAGTGTGAGCGGGGGAGGGGCAGAGACAGAGGAAGACACAGAATCTGAAGCAGGCTCCAGGCTCCGAGCTATCAGCACAGAGCCTGACGCGAGGCTTGAACCCATGAACCATGAGATCATGACCTGAGCCGAAGTTGGATGCTCACTGGACTGAACCACCCAGGTGCCCCTATATATTTATTTTGAGAGAGAGACTGGGGGGAGAGACAGAATTGCCAACAGGCTCCACACTGTTAGTGCAGAGCCCAACTCAGGGCTCAAACTCAGGAACCTTGAGATCATGACCTGAACCAAAGACACTTAAGCGACTGAGCCACCCAGGTGCCCCTTGACTATTATTTCTTAGTATATTTGGCCTGCTTCATTCTCTTCTCGGAATCCTATCATACCCATCTCAGACTGTCTGATATTAAACAACAGGTCTCTGAGGTTCTGTTCGCCTTAAAAATAAAATCTTTTCTCTCTTACTCACATTTGGATAAATTCTATTCAGCTGTCTTCAAGTTCACTGTCTTTTTACCTGTCCCCTCCATTCTGTTAAGGCCATCTCTAACTTTTTTCCCTTTATTATTTTTTCAGTGTTTATTTTGTGAAAGAGAGAGCACGTGCAGAAGCAGGGGGAGGGGCACAGAGAGAGGAGGAGAATCCCAAGCAGGCTCTGTGCTGTCAGCTCAATCCGACAAACTGAGATCATGACCTGAGCAAAAATCAAGAGTCGGACACTTAACTGAGCCACTCAGGCACCTCTTTCATTCTAGATCATGTATTTTTTAGTTTTATTTATTTTTAAGGTGTTTATTTTTGAGAGAGAGAGTGAGAGAAGGAGTGGGGAAGGGACAAAGAGAGAGATCCACCATGGGCTCTGTGCTCACAGCAGAGAGCCTGATGCAGGGCTCAAACTCATGATCTGCTAGATGGTGAGCTGAGCTGAAGTCAGAAGATTAACTGACTTAGCTACCCAGGTGCCCCATATTTTTCAGTTTTATTATTTCCATTTCATCAAAAAAATCATTTCTGTATTTTCTATTTTTTCATTCATTGCAAGTACATTTTCCTTTACATCACTGATAGCTATAATAGCTATTTTAACACCCTTATTTGCAAATTCTAATACTTGGATTAGCTGGAGTTGCTCTTAATTCACTGCCTTTTGCCCTTCAGAAAGGGTTGCATTTTCTTCCTTATTTCTATATTGCATGTGGTGAATGGCTATGAATATCACATAGTGGAGACTCTATTCTGTTACTTTTCTCAGATGAGTGGTTTCTTTTGTTTTCGCATGCAGTCAACTTGGCTGGACTTGGAACTTCTGCCCAAGAAACATTTGGAAGGTCAATCACAGCTCACATCTTATCTTTAGCTCCGCTCCCATGACCACCCAATGTCTATGTGGCTTAGGAGTCAGCTCGAGATACAGACAGAATTTGGGGATCTTCCC